GTGTATGCAGTGTGTGTGTTAGTGTATGCAGTGTGTTGTGTGTTAGTGTATGCAGTGTGTGTTGTGTGTTAGTGTATGCAGTGTGTGTGTGTGTTTTGTTAGTGTATGCAGTGTGTGTTGTGTGTTAGTGTATGCAGTGTGTGTGTGTTTTGTTAGTGTATGCAGTGTGTGTGTGTAAATGTGTGATCTGGGGGGGGAGTGGGAGGAAGGGGCATTTTAACATTAATTTTCTATTAAATTAATTAAATGATATTCCCCCCTCCCTGCTTACCTGTGTCCAGGGAGGGGGGAGATTCCATCCCAGGTGGTCTGGTGAGGCCCCCTCCCCCCCCCCTGGCTCCCTGTTACTGCAGAGGGGGCCCAGGCAGCACACAGCTTCTCCTCTGTTCTAATAACTCTCGCGAGACCCGGTTACCATGGCAACGCTCCGCGGGTCTCGCGAGAGTTATGAGAAGAGAGAAGAGAGGAGGAGAAGCTGTGTGCTGCCTGGGCCCACTCTGCGGTAACAGGGCGCCGGGGGGCCGCGCCTACACACATAGATCGCGATATTCGCTATCTATGTGTGCAGAAAGGGAAAGTCGGGCCCAGGACTGCCAGAGCAGTCCGGGCCCCCAGGGCCACCGGGCCCATGACAACAGTCACGGTTGTCACCCCCTGATGGCGGCCCTGCATGACATGTGTGACATGTCATGATTCCCTTTTATTCCAGAAGTTTGGTCCTTGAGGAGTTAAAGGAGTGGTTCTTATACAACCCACTATAGTAGTTATGGTGACAGGAGTGCCATAGCTTTATCCCAGAATAAGTAGCCAAACCACTTAATAAAAATTTTACGACTTGCGCCTGGCCTGAAATCCACAGCAGCCTGCCCTGCTGCTGGTAGCTCCTTCAAATAATAACTGTTTGATTTTAATGTGGATGTAGCGTAAACCAATAAACATAGACTACCAAAAAAAAAAAAAAAACAATAAAACACACCATGACATGAGTAGCAGATGAGGGTGTAACCTTCAGCCCGGTTGAGATGCTACGCTACTGAATATATCGAACTTATCAATCTCCAAATACAAAGGCACTCTCTCGAGGCACTTGCTCACAGCAGTTCGGTCGTTAATCCTGCTTCACCGGCGTCATAGGGAACCCCCGTCGTATCAGGCATGGCTGGAGAGAGTCGCGGAGATAAGACAGGTGATGGAGGAAGTTGTCATGGTGGGTAGGTGACTGGATAAGTATGAAGATATCTAGCGGCCGTTGATCTACCACATGTGTTCCAGTAATGACGGTCAACCTCCCCCAGAGCCTGGCTTGCGATGTTCTCCTCCCACATCGCTGCCTTTGGCTCCTTTCTAGCTCAGCTCCTCTCCCCTCCCCTTACTTCCCCCCTTTTTATTTTTTAATAATTTTTTTTATCCACTCTGCTTTTCTCTCCCTTCCCCTCTTTCACACTTCCCCACGCCTAGCCACTCTTCGTCTTTCTTCTTATACTCTCATTTCCTTCGCTTACACTGATAAGTCTTTACTTGATAGAGAACATTACCTCTTTGTTAATCATAATTATCTTCCCCTAGCTGCTGGATTAACATGGTCGCGTTCCCAAGCTCTCTGGCATGGACGGACGAGAGGGATTTTTCCTGCTCGGATGGCAGTGGGACGATTGGGAGTTTGGAAAGCGGATCGGCTGCCACAGAGGGTGGAGATGGTTAGGCCCCAATATGGGTGGAAAGGCTGGTAGGCTGTGCAGTCGACTCACAGTGAGACAACACGCACAGACATGACCATAGCACTAAGGAAGCAGGGTGGGGGCTCTGCAAGTCTAGACTCAGTCCCTCTGATGTACCCCTACCTAACCCGAAACATAGTCCATGATTTGTTCCTTAGCACGCACTGAAGATCTAGGAACTCCTGCGGAAACCATGGGAGGTGATGTTGGGGGAAATACTCTGGCAATGTAAGCCATAGGGGCCTGAAGGTGCATCACCTTCCATCAGACTCAGTGTGATTTAGGCGTTCAACTAACTTTCATGCTATGATGTGATGTGGTAAGCGTCAGTTCTATGTTTAATTTGGAAGGGTTCATTCATACCCAGCTATGTTGACAGCCTGGTGATGACTGTTGTATGTCTATCCATTTCTCTTTCATTTTACCTGTATTCTGTATTTTGAAAACTAATAAAAAGAGATTGACAAAAAAAAAACAATACAACAACTGTATTTGTTAAAATATGTAAAAACAACAGTAAAACTCATGTTCTGTCTCTCACCAGTAGGTAAGACAGTGCAAATTACTGGAATTTAGTGTCAACTCTCTTAATTTCTTTTTACAGAAGTCCAGTATGGCATCGATGTCAAACCTTGATGTTGAGAAGAAAAAACCCCCAGATGAAGATTTCACCGATGATGACATAGAGAAGAAAGATTGCAACGGGAGAGCAATACCCAATATTGTTATAGAGAGAGTTGCCTCCTTAGATGAGGATGTGAGTGTTACGTTGCCTGTCTTTTCCTTCACATCTGTCACTGTAGTTTGGATTCCACAGTAGTTGAACTGACCACATTTTCCTGACTTGTGTTTTCCGTTGTTAGGCTCCAATATGTTATGTTGACAAGATATGACTAAGTGTTCTCCCCAATACAAACAGCAAAATCATGCCATCTTTGACACGACTTCATTGTTCTGCTAATCTGCTGAATGACTAAGCCTAAATAGCTTTGATCCAGACTAGCTATGATTATATCTCATCTTCAGTCTGGCCTAACTATGACTTGCATCACCCCTGCCCATTGTCCTTATTACTCATCCATGTGTGTCCATTCTAGGCTCTTCGAGAGCAAAGTAAATAATCAACATATCTCTTTCATTTTAGACAAGTTCCATGAAGTCTGAGTTGCGGAAGGATTCCAAAATACACCTGGAAGAGCCAACCATGCAGAAGAGAGCTGGGAGTACAACTAGTGTTATTTCCGACGCTGCCATTGAAGGTTTGTACAACTACTACAACGATATCTACTTACTTTTCTTTCTTTTCTTTTTTTAACATCAGACATTGGTATTCTATTCCTTTGGTGACTTTTTCATGTGAGGTAATATCGAGTACCAAAATCATCATTTGTTACATACTTTCATTAATTCCAATTTTTTAAAATATATATAAATTTATATTAATAATATTACAAATGTAATGATGCTCTTAATAAATATTTGTCTTATTACTATGTATACAGAGTTATCCTAAATTTGTATGTCTGTAGGATTAATAACATCAAAGCATACATTAAAATCCTAACACATCTATACTGCCGGGCACACTCATCGGGGGAGAAATGAGGGGATAAAGGGGTATTCACTAAGCCCCCAATGTATAAATTACTCATCTCGAGGGTTCCAAATTCTATAATACAAATCTAGGTTTTCAAAATTTGTGTATACTGCTTTCTCCATTAATCGCTGAAAATCCACCTGAAATTTAACTTCGGACCAACGTGGAATTTATGAGGTCTTCCAACGTCTGGCAGTACAAATTTTTGTAGCCGTTAGAATCTGTATTATAAGCATTTGTTATGGTTTATTTATCTTAGGAAAGTCTATACGTATGAAAGAGGAAACTTTGAATAGTTAGAGTATATGATAAGCCCAACAGTTTTCCTTTTGCATATTTCAAATTATTTTTTAGCGAGGATAGTTTTGTACAATCCCACCATATATGTTTTTGTGAACCACCTCCAACACTTGTTTTGACTATTATGGACATTATTTTGAAATGTTGCACTTGTATTAGGTACCATATACCATTTGAAAGTAATCGTTTTAAAGTTCTCATAAAGTAATATGTTGTGTATTGTGTTTTTAGTTAGTTTACATGTTTTTATCCATTCTTCTTCCGAGAACATAAATCCCATTTCCTGTTCCCATTTGATGACGCTATTTAACTGCTCTTTAGGTTTTTGTTCATATAAAATCCTATTAAACCTTGATATAATCTTGTTTCTTCCTTCTATTGAGAGGATATTGTCGACAATACTATTATCTATCTTTTTGTTGCTTAATATATTTTTTATTTTAATGTATGTTAGAAATTCTCTTTTTATAATCTTTTTCTAATATTTCATTTAAAGTCTTAATCTTATTTACCTTTAAAAAGTCTCATAGACAGTTAAACCATTCTTTTCATTTAGCAATATTTACACCAGTGATATATCCCAATAAAATATCTATTGATATCTTGCCTGACAGAGTCTCCCCAATGCCATATCTTTTTTTAATTATTAAAAAACCTATATTGTTCTATAACTATTTTGTTTAAAGATTTAGTTTTTTAAATGTTAAATTATCAAGCCAGATCAACTAATTTGGCTCAAAATTTATATAAGATTGTATTTCGATTCCTGCCTAGGAGGCTTGATCTATTTTTTTATATTTCCAAGCTATAAAGTGTCGGATCATAATGGCATAAAGTAACATAAAAACATCTGGTAATTATGTTCCTCCATCCTTTAAATGTCGAGCTAGATTTTTGTATTAAGTTCTAGGTTTTTTTATGTCCCCATACAAATTTCAAAAATGTATTATTATATTCCCGAAGAATCTTTCTGGGAACAGACATGGGTGTTGATCGCATTAGATATTCAAGCTTACAAATAAAATAATCGTTAATTATAGTTATTCTACCCAGCAATGAGATATACATTGGTTTCCATTTTGTTAGCAATTTTGTTAATTTCTTGAGGAACAAGGGAATAATTATTTGTAATGATATCATTCCAATCAAATCCCAAACAAATTCCCAGATATTTTAATGTCTTAGAATCCCAATTAAAATGATATTTTTCTTAAAGTCTGCACAAATTTGAATTAGATAGATTAGAATATATTGCATCTGATTTACTTAGATTAATTTTATAATTTGAGATCTTACTGTAGTCTATTATATATTTAAGCGTGGCGGGGATTGAGACTTCTGGGTACGTGAGAGTGAGAATTACATCGTCCTTGTATAATGAGACTTTATATTGTTGTTTTACTTTTTTAATTCCCTCTATCTCCTTTGATTGTCTAATTGATTGTCTAATTAGTCTAATTACTTTTCATGTAAACAGAATGTTTAGGATAAGGTCAAGTATGGAATGTTACCGTGGGTCTTATAGTAAGTCGTGTATAAAATATGCAAGTACCTTGCCATAGCTAAAAAAAAATGTTTATTTAAATGTACACCTTGATTTTCTAGGCCACATAAAAAGTTGTGCGGTAGATGGATCCTACCATAAATGCTAAGTAAGAATGAAAAAATGCTTGAAAAAAGATGTAAGCTTCATAAGTATAGCTGCCAACATTACAACTTTGTTGCTGTTTCCAAGTATAAACTATAAAAAGAGTATTAAAAAAAGATTTGCGAGGCCTTTCCTCTTTCACCACCTCATTGGCTGCGGGGTGGAGAGTACTATTAAAGAACGACTGTCATCTTGCATTAAAATGAAATATGTGAGAGAGAAAATAGAAAAACACATCCTTACTTTTAGTACGTAACAGGATACTTCAGCAATATACATGCACCTTGAGTCAGACAGTGTTTGATAGCTGATAGTTAGTCTCTATGGTCTTCTCTGCTTCACTTCCTGCACAGAAACAGGAAGTATCATAAAGACTGTCACATTGGCTGAAGGATCATGTCAAAATACTAAAGATAGGGATGAATTTTTTTAAATTTATTTTTTTACATATAGTCCATGCTTAAAAAAACCGACATTTCCATTCAATGCTTAATGAACGGATTATTATATTAAAACATATATTTTTGAGGCTCTACATTATCTGTGTATAACTATTACTTGTGTATTATATTTTCATTTTGTGACTTTTATACTTCATATTAACAGTTCATATGCTCCATCTTACACAAACAATATTCACATTAGGTGATTTTTTTTTTTTTTTAATATTCTTTACTACCTTTAATCAACCTTGTTTTCCAATATGGGATGAACTTAAATATTAGCCTCTAGACGTTTCATTTGGAATTTAAATTAGTAGAAATACCTTTCTCAAGGCAAAGGTACTTGAGAATTTTTATTTAGACATGCAGGGGTGCTTCTCTCCGTAAAAGGTTGAGAAATATTGCTACAGAGCTCTCACCTTCCAGCAAGAACCCTTCCTAATTGCCATCCAGGCAAAGTTACGCCAGGTTCATAAATAGAAGCTTTAGTGTAACTTTGCTGCCATGCCCAAAAAAATATATAAAAGAAGCCCATTTGGCTTTAGTAAACTGGAGATCTGCCTTTTATATATTGAAAGATACTACACCGATGAGTCTTGATGCGACTCAAGGTTCCACGCAACTGAATTCTATCTGAAGAAACATGGACAATATCTAGGCCTTTATGTTAACCTAGCTATCATTTTTTAAATCCAGATGTATTGTTAGTGACCATGTTATTATATTCCTTTATAGCACGAACATTCGGTCATGTTTTTGTCCATTTGTCGCCGTTCATTTTACATAACTCCATTTATTCATAGAGCTGGAAGAAGCCCAGCAGAAGTGCCCACCATGGTGGTATAAGTGCTCTCACCGTTTTCTGATCTGGAACTGTTGTGAGTTGTGGATAAAGTTTAAAGGATATGTGCGATTTGTGGTTATGGATCCATTTGTAGACCTTGGGATTACCATCTGCATTGTCCTCAACACGCTTTTCATGGCCATGGAGCATTATCCCATCACTGACCAGTTTGCAGAAGTGCTGAACGTCGGAAACCTGGTGAGGCCATAAATGAGTTTGAAGATGTTTTAAAACTCTCTGCAACTGTTACAAATGAAGTCCGCAGATTAAAACAAAAGATATTTTGTACCTATGGCTTTGCTGCCAGATACCATTGAGTCAGATAATAATAATAAAAGGGTGGTTGCAATGGAAGGACAATAAAAGGGTATATAGTGTACTTTAAGACAGCTAAAACAATGGTTTCACATAGTAAAACGAAGCAATACAAAGCAGATATTTTGGTTTTATTTTTCCAAGTCTGACTATTGCTGTTATTTTTTTCCAATGTATTCCGTTTTTACTTACTGTTATAAAAATGGAGGGAATTGTTTACATTATGGACTTCTGTTCCTGTTTGCAACATCACAATGTTAGATGGATTTCCTGTGCTGCTTTTTTCGCAGCCTATGCTATGTATAACTTGATTCATGGCTGAGGTCAGCTTTCAGACATATTGCACAAAGATATTTAGTTGTTAGAAAAAGAGGGGAATATTTTGGCAGGGGATGCTAATTTGACATTCTGGAGCAGGTGCAAATTCTCTCCAGGAAGAGAAGCCCAAACATTAAAACGAGGTCTCAATTTAAACGAGTTGGAAATATAAAAAGAAATAACATTAAGAAACATATTGACAGGATTAGAATAATGATTATGTTATGTTCAAATAATAAGATTTCGGAGCCATGTTAAAAAAGAAGTTAGTACTCATTTTACTAATCACCTAGAAGTTCGTATAGAAACACATTATGGGGAGCACGTTTCATTTTTTCTTTGGATTGTTATACTAAAGAAGGGGTAGGCAACCTTTGGCCCTTCAAATGTTGTGGACTACATACATACTTTGCTAGTTGACACCGTTTTAGTGTACAGAACTTGCACCTGCAGTTTACTACTCAATTCTCTGCTATTTAGGAGTTAAATCACTTTTGTTTCTGTTTATGCAGCCCTAGCCAAATCTCCCTTGGCAGTAGCTCACATGGCCTCCATGAAAAAATGTTTTCATTTTCAATCAGACCTGACAGCACAGTGTGTTTGCTTTAGAATTTTTCTTATCTCCTACTAGGTTTACCTCCTACTGCCGGCTCTAACGGGCAATTAATAGAGCAGGGGATACTAGATTCTTAATTAAACACAATGTGCAATAAGTGAAGCTAATAGTTTAGACTCATTTTTAGGAAATTTGTTTAGTTGGTTGTGTGAATCTCACCCAGGAGAGGTGTGAATAGGGCTGCATAAACAAAGTAACAACTCCTAAATGACAGAGAATTAAGCTATGAGACTGGAGGGGCATGACCTGTACAACAAAACCAGCACATCATAATTAGGCTCTGTACTCAAACTCCCACTACTCTTAGACGGCACTAATGGCTATGACTTTACATATCATGACATATACAGTTTATGGTAATATCAGTAAACTACGTGTGATTCTCAGGAAATCTAATCTCCCTGCAGGTCTTCACTGGCATTTTCGCTGCTGAGATGTTCTTTAAGATCATTGCTCTGGACCCATATTACTATTTCCAAGTTGGGTGGAACATATTTGACAGCATTATTGTCACCTTGAGCTTGGTGGAGCTGGGTCTTGCAAACGTGGAGGGACTATCTGTCCTACGATCATTCCGTCTGGTAGGTACTGCCCTAATAGGGTGAATTTTCTGTGCATGTACCAACTTGTGGATTCATGTAGAGAGGTTATTTTGGTCTCATATGCCGATTTAGATAAGCATGAAGATTTAAACAATATATTACCTTCCACTCTCTGAAAGAAGCCTGCTTATGTGCTAAAATGCACAGGAAACAACAATCAATGCAACATGCCTTGATAGCAAGTGGCTGCATGGACTTAGAGCCAGGACTTAGGCCTCTTCTCTCTTCTCAGGACTGTGGTATTCAGGCAGACTTTATACAGCCAGGATATCCATTAGCTGCACTCTTTTGTAAAATGCATCATTGGAGGTGTAAACTTACCTAAATGCTCACTACAAACCTCCTATATGTGACCTATTTGTTAGAAGGAAGCCCAATATAAGCTACTGGAAGAACAGAAACCCAGGTACTTATACTAGTCTTTAAAGGACCACTATAGGCACCCAGATTACTTCAGCCCAATGAAGTGGTCTGGGGGTCTGAACAACTGACAGCCTAAACTGTTTAAACTATAGGATTCCATTGCACCCCATATGCCATTCATCATCACTATTGGAGGAAGATTAAAAACTTCCACATCCTTGTAACCTTTACCGTTATACCACTGCTATTGTCATGGGTCCCAAGTGGTTACTTAAAGGACCACTCTAGGCACCCAGACCACTTCAGCTTAATGAAGTGGTCTGGGTGCCAGGTCCAGCTAGGGTTAACCCATTTTTTCAGAGAAACTGCTATGTTTGTGAATGGGTTAAGCCTTCCCCTATTTCCTCTAGTGGCTGTCTCATCGACATCCACTAGAGGTGCTTGCGTACTTCTCACTGTGATTTTCACAGTGAGAGCACGCCAGCGTCCATGGGAAAGCAATATGAATGCTTTCCTATGTGACCGGCTGAATGCGCGCGCAGCTCTTGCCGCGCGTGCGCATTCAGCCGAAGGGGAGGGAAGAGGAGGATCGGAGGAGGAGAGCTCTCCACCCAGCGCTGGAAAAAGGTAAGTTTAACCCCTTTTCCCCTTTCCAGAGCCGGGTGGGAGTGGGACCCTGAGGGTGGGGGCACCCTCAGGGCACTATAGTGCCAGGAAAACCAGTATGTTTTCCTGGCACTATAGTGGTCCTTTAATGACTAATCAGATTTTGCTCTGATTTCTTTTTAAATATAAACAATCATGTAATTTTTTAAATATGTATCTAATGTTATATTTGTTCTTTCCTAGCTTAGAGTGTTCAAACTTGCAAAATCTTGGCCAACATTGAACATGCTCATCAAAATCATTGGTAACTCGGTAGGAGCCCTTGGGAACCTCACTTTGGTGTTGGCCATCATTGTCTTCATCTTTGCAGTGGTGGGAATGCAACTGTTTGGGAAGAGCTACAAAGAATGTGTGTGCAAGATCTCCTCGGACTGTGTGCTTCCTCGATGGCACATGCATGACTTCTTTCATTCCTTCCTCATCGTATTCCGCATCCTTTGCGGAGAGTGGATTGAGACTATGTGGGACTGTATGGAAGTAGCAGGTCAAGCTATGTGCTTAATTGTATTCATGATGGTCATGGTCATCGGGAATTTGGTGGTAAGTGCTCTTTTGTATCTGTTATAAGATTTGCATCACAATGAGACATGATTGTATAGAAATCACACTAACAAATAAAGTTAAAACCCGATAGTAGGCAAACCAGCCATCTGCAGATATACAAGGTGTTACATGCTCTAACAACACGCTTTTTCCTTTCTGTAACCCAAAAGTAATGATTACTGTAATTTGTCGTTTGCATACGCATACAATATCGTACAACTGCATAACTATCGACGCAAAAATAAAATAATTTAAAAAAAGAAATCACACTAATAGGGATATTTACTAAAAAGAAAATGAACAATTCAAAGTAAATTTCAAATTTAAGGTTAAAGTAAGTAAACTTGACACATTCTCGAAGAGCTATGTTTACAGTTTAGCTAATGTGGCCTTAAAGTTGAAATCCGCTTGAATTCTTCATAATTATCACTTAAGTAAATAACCATGTAAGTACTTTTTAAAAAAGAGGTCTCAAAATATTTTAAACAATATAATGTAATAAGATACTCAATACTTAAATTTGCTTTTTAATGTTTGCTGATGATTTACTAATATTTTTACTTTTTGAATATATTTTTGTTCATTTTTGGATATACTCTAAACCAAGCATGTCAAACTTGCAGCTTGCAGGCCCCATGCGGCCCACAATCAATATATTTGCGGCCCACCTGCCCTTGGGCCACTTTGTTTTGTGAATTCACGAGAATTCACAATTTTGTGAATAAACTTCAATAACTTTTGCCATATATTGCACAACATATTAAAGTTAGTTAATGTCCTGTTTTGTCTTTATGGCATTTTCTCTGTACTTGTAACTGAACAAGGAAGGTTGGCTAGGGGCTAGGATCAGCATTGTTCTGTTTGCCACGTGTATTTCTGCGTATGCTCTTGACCTCTACAAACCTAGATTTTCAGAATATCGTGTAAAGTTTATGTTGTGTTGGTGCAAGGGAAGTTAAATTGTAACTCGTTACTGTTGTTGTAGAGACTAATCAGCATGACGGGAGTATTTCACACTCAATGTGTCTGCAGCATTCCAAATTAGTGTCAGCACAAGTAAATATTACAGCGTTACGCTGGAAAACAGCTGTCAAAATACATACACATCAACCCGTCATTTAGACATACATTAGTCAGCAAAATGTGACTCGCCTTGCAATTTGCCATATAATTTATTGTTACCAGACTTTTATAAGTTGGCTTTTATTTTTTTTTGCTTTTTCATTTTGATAATTTTGTGTTACTAGACTTATAGAAAATAAATTGCTTATTTACTGGGGGAATTCACTTAATTTTCAAAATGGAAACATATATTTGACATCTCCCCAGAGATTAGAATAAGCTGGATCAAAATGTCTGTTTTTTGCCAGGATTGTCTAGATTCTGGACCTTAGCTCCGCATATTTGCACTAAAATTGACTGTTTTGGTAGGTACAGCTACCACATGTTAGTTTCTACAATGTCATGCCAGTTTCAAACTTTGCCCACTTGCGCCTGTGTTGTTGTAGGTAGCTCGTTGTTGTGGTGATAGTGCAAAGAAGCTTTCTTTGTCTTGAAGTGGAAAAATCAATTAAAGTATTGATTATTTCTTTGTGTATCTGCCCCTGGCCAAATCAATGAAACAATGCGTGCACGCTCCCTGAAGTAATTCACACCAGACACAGGTTCCAGGTTGTTGAATAACTTGAGGAATGTTTATTCAGAGGGGACGGCAAGTCCCTTTTAAAGCAAAATTACATCATATGCATTGTCAGAGATAACATGGAATAATACATCAATAATTGGTTAGGTGTTAAGTGCTTGCTCTAATGCTCTGCCTACTGTAGGTGATGTCACCGGGGCCATGAGGGTCTCCCACGGTTTCCCGGCGCCATCTTGATGCACGAGGTAGTTAGTCGACGTTAGGAGGGGGGGGAAGGAGGGATTAAAAGCTTCTAACAGCCATCTTGGTTAAAATATGTGTGTTTAGCTTTATACGATATATATCATGAAATGAGTAAATAGACATTTTCTCTATCTAGGAAATATGCGCAGACCTTATTTCCACAACAGTCCCCCCTAAAATGGCTATTTACCATAACAACTGCTGCTGTCCCTAATATGTCCCTAGTTGCCCGCAACCTATCTGTCTTGACAAGCATCGAACGCTTCACTCCGCGGGTATCCCGCAGTGGCTAGCCCACTACATCTCCACACGTGAGACTCACCTGTCAAGACAGATGCTTTCCCTACTCTATCCCTATAGGAAGGCAGTTGTCTGTTTAAACTGATGTGTTTGTAGGGGTGTATGTGGGGTGTCATCTTCGAGGTCTGTGATATCTTGGTGTAGGAAGGTAGGGGTCACGTTATCTACAGTCTTATCCACTGCTTTCTGCAGATATTTCTGTATGCAGGGGAGTATGCAACAGGCTAAAAACAAGAAGATAATGAACACTATAAGAACAGCTGTCCCCACCTGGAAGAGGGTCTTTTGCCAGCCATTCATCCACCCAAACCATTTATCCCATATGTCAGTGGCTCCCGAATTCTTCTTTAATTCGTCTGCAAGACTATCTAGCTTCTCTATGGCCATAGTCACCTTACCATTGGGCCCAGTGTTGTCTGGAATGTATGTGCAACATGTCATGGTTTCAGGGAGGATTTTACATACCCCCCCTTTCTCAGCTAAAATCATATCTAGGGCCATTCTGTTCTGAAATGTCATTTGGGTTGTGGCTTGTAACTGTTCTGCTAGGCCCTGTAGGGCATCCCTTGTATAATTGACAAAGCGCTGCTGATTATAATAGATATAGTTGATCCAATTGACATTTTTGTTAGCAGTTATCATTGGAATTAGGGATTCAAATCCTGCAGCTACTTCATCTCTTGCTTTGAATTCGTTGGGCACCCCCCTAGGCACACCTATGGCATCAATATATACATGGGGGTCGAAGCTCCCTCGGATGGGAGCCTCTCGTTTGGTTCTAGAATATATATGTGTAAGATTTAAAGTGTTATGACTACCATCTGGAATAATGTGGATAGGCATTATGACTTTGGTTAGGGCACACTCCCCCCACCATTGCCCAACTAATTGGGACCTCAATTGTTTGTCACCACATAACCAATAGATATCACCGATTGTCTTTGTGTGATTCATTAGCAGTGATACAGGTGGACTATGGTAAGTTGAGCAGTATCCTGATGGGAATTTGCCCAGATACAAACCAGTGTTCTTAGGTATTGAATAGCATGTGTAATTACCTGGGTAGATGGTGACTCCATCAGGTGGTTTCACATGTCCATGGGTGATTGGGTAAACCTTCTTCCAGGATTCACATGTTGAGGAGTTAGTGATAGATTGTGCATACAAACTCAGTACACATGATTCTATTTCGGGGGGTAAGCTCAGAGGTACTGTGCCCAGATGGGGTCTGGCACCTCCACATACATAACAATTAGTCTTATTGTGTGAGTTAGCGTTGTACCTCATCCATTCTAGCCACAAATTAGTGTCTGAAAACCCTGTTTCTACTGCCATGGTATCTTCAAAAGTGGGGTTAGCTATGGCCACCATGTCATGTAGGGTCTTGATATGTGGTTTCAATGGGTTAATGACCATATGTGTAGTTCCCACCCAGTCAGAAGAATTTAGCATATCTTGCAGGTAAAAGGTCCCTAATGCGTTATGTGATCCGCCTCCCTTCCAGTACATTCCCATCACATACTCCCCTGCATCCCTTGGACTAGGGTGTTCTATATTCAAGGTGAGTTTAATGGGAGTTGACCCTATGGGTTTACTCAGGGTCATTCTAGAGAGTAAGGGTTTCCCATCTTTGTCAAGTTTGTCTAATGCTACTTGAGGTCTGTAACCCCATGGTCTACCTGTGTTCCACCCAGCAGCTTTCCATTAACTACAATGGTGACCCCAGACTCCTCCAGTCACACAAATGTATGGATCCTTTTTGTTAGGTATGTCCTTATATATAGCTGCATGTTGTGTTTGTGGAAATGTACAAGTGACTATGTCACAATAGTCAAAGGTGTATGTAGCCACATCAGTATTAGAAGAATTGTACCAAAAAGTGTACACATGATTATCTTTGGTAATGGCCACTTGTTGGGCCCAGGCAAGATGTAGCAGCATAAGAAAACACAAGACACATAATAAATTCATTTTTCAACAGGATCAGTCTCTTCTGGAGCAGGAACTTTTTTGCAATGTGAAGCGTGTATCCAAGAACTCTTCCCAGCTAGTTTAACTGATGTTGCTGTAATCAGGAGCACTTGGTAAGGACAATCAAATCTCGGTTCCAGGGTGTGCTTTCTGAGAAACTTCTTAACCATAACCCAGTCACCCGGAAGCAGCTTGTGTGTACCTGTATTCGACTCAGGATCTGGAATAGAAGAAAACACTTGGGCATGTATCTTGGTCAAGGCATGTGAGAGGGCTGTCACATAATCTACCATAGCATCTGACTGGATCTGAAGCTGTTGGGGAAAGTAACAACCTAACCTGGGTGCTGTACCAAACAGAATCTCATAAGGTGACAGGCTGTATTTTCCCCTAGGAGTGTACCTCACACTAAACAATGCTAATGGGAGACTCTCGGGCCAGGGCATGTTAGTTTCTTGTGACATTTTAAGCATTCTGGCTTTCAAAGTGCCATTCATGCGTTCTACCTTGCCACTACTCTGTGGGTGATATGGTGTATGGAATGCAAGGGTCACCCCCAGTGCTGACCAGACTTCCCGTGTTAGTGAGGCAGTAAAGGAGGTTCCCTGGTCACTTTCAATCACTTCTGGAACTCCATAGCGGCAAACAATTTCTGTCAGAAGGTACTTGGCTGTAGTTCTTGCGGTGAGGTTGGTCACTGGGAAGGCCTCTGGCCATCCTGAAAACATGTCCACTATAACCAATGCATATTCATAACGTCCGCTTTTTGGCATCTGGATGTGATCAATCTGAATCCTCTGGAAGGGGTATTGTGGTTTAGCTAGGTGGTTAAGTGCAG